TCATTACTTGAAGGGAAACTTCATTTTTTTTTCCTGTCATGTGTAATGTAAATTGTGGGACTTAATATCATTTATTTTAAATTTGCATCAGTGACCTGTGGGTTTTCTGTATGTTTGAAGTTAATAAATATCTTGTAAGGACTTCTGTAGCTATGGTGATTTTCTTCTCTTTTAACACAGTTTAATGAGGGCTACTTTTGACAGTACTAATGGATTTTTGTTTACAACAGGATGTTTTGCAACTGAGCAGGGTAGACCATTGTGCTTTGAGGGCATACATACATACAGATGTACAGCATGGAAACAGACCCTCGGTCCAACTCATCCATGCCGACCAGATATCCTGAATATATCTAGTCCCATTAGCCAGCATTTTTCCCATAATCCCTCTAAACCGTTCCAATTCATGTACCCATCCAGTCTGTTAGGAATTTTTAGATTTATTTTTTTAAATTTAGGGTAAATTTAGATGGAGAGACCTTGTTTTGGTTTTACTGTGTTTTTGAGCAGTTTTGGAAAGTCATTAGATAGAAATAGTTATGTAGATCAGTGCTCCAGAGAAAGGTCGAATATAGTAAGACTGGGTTACCATTAGAGTAAGGAGCTAGTGAGAGTACCAAAACCAGAAATATTGGGTTAAAACCCTGCAGAGGTTATTTGAGGTGTAGTACATTTTTAACATGAGGTGTATGATACTCCAGGAAGACGCTATCAGAGTTTCCAAGCTAAAAGTTAAAGTCACAATTACCTTAAGCTTATTGAGATCTTAGGAAAGATTTTTCTCTGGTGTAAGTACTGTACAAGGGTACTTACTATACAAGGGATTGCTTATCTGTTGGAACTTGTAAAGGATAATTTTGAGATTAATGAGATTATTCTTGAAGTGTGTGTTTAAAAATCTTTGCATCTGTATTGTAGCTTAGACTAGAATAGAATAAACTATCTTCATTTGGTTAATGAGCTTCTGTTTTGCTAAAACAAAATCTGCAACTTTGCGTGTTTATGTTTCAGTGAGAGACCATCACGTTAAAAGCAAAACAAAATGTGATGGATCAAGCCAGGCTTCAGCCTGAGTTCTGACATGTCCAGTAACAACATCAACTGGAATCATAATCACAATCTGATTAAGATGAGCTAATACAGGTTGGAAATCTAATTAGTGAGCTGATGTGGTAATGCTTCATGTTCTATATATATATATGTATATCTATAGTATATGAATATGTATGTATTATTATGAGCCTCAATTTTAAAATCCTTCTTTGTTACCTTTTATTTCCATTTCCTATCTCTATAATTTCTTCCAGTGCATAAACCATGGAAATCTCTACACTCCTGCAGTTCTAGCATGATGTGGCGGTGCTGGTGTTGGACTGGGGTGGACAAGGTCAGAAGTCACACGACACCAGGTTATAGTCCCAACAAGTTTATTTGAAATCACAAGCTTTTGGAGCATAGATGAAGTGAGAGGAGCACACAGAACACAGAATTTATAGGCAGAGAGAGATCAAGGGCAGAGAGATTAAAAGGCTATGCAAATGGTGTGAGAGAAGTGCCAAAGAATAAATCCCTGCAGGTGATCCGAAGTGTCAGACGGTGTGAATAAAGTGTCAACAGCTGAATAACAAGTGAAGGGATGACCTATAATCCGATTAAATGAGGCAGAGAGATAATTACAAAAAAATAAAAATAAGGTGGTGCTGGAGAGAAACTAAATGAGTGGAATAACATGATAGGTAGAAGAGTCGCGTGCCAATGTAACAAGTAATCCAAAACTGCACAAACTAGTTAAGGTAGAGAGATCATAACATTTTATCCAGGTGGTGGTGACAAAACAGGAGATTTTACAGATACAGAACAGTATGTTATATGACATGAACCCAAGATCACAGTTGATGGGTACAGAACATGGCTATCAGTTTCTGCTCGGCGATTCTGTGTTGTTGTGTATCTCAAAGGCCGCCATGGAGGATGCTTACCCGAAGATCAGAGGCTGACTGTCCTTGACCACTGAAGTGTTTCCTGACCGGGAGGGAACATTCCTGTCTGGCGATTGTTGCGCGGTGTCCATTCTAACAAGCTGTGCATCCCCAATTTTAATCACTACTTTCAGCCATGCTTTCAACTACCTTGGCCCGAAGCTCTAATTCCATTCATTTTAGTTAATCAGATCTTTTTATTTCTCATAATCACGTATTCTTGATTCTGATACTAAAATATGACAATCTCGTAGAGTTCTTTTTCTCAAGTGGTTTTAATCCTAATCCGTCCAAACTGGTTGCCCTGTTTTATCCTCTGCTTCTGTTGAGCTGCTGTGTTCTATGTTTAGTTTTAATCTTGCAGCTAGGCTTCAACCTCAGAATTTCCATGTGCTTGTCCTGCATCTTCTAATCAACCAGATCTTGTAGTTTTGTGCTTCAGCATATTGAGAGCTTCTTGTCCAAATGTTTAGAATTTGTAGTAAAGTGCAATACTTTGATTATTAATAAAGATAATTGTATATTTTCACACTGTTCTCCATAATTATTACAGTGAAGATGGAGTCACCGGTAGACATGGTAGTGAAGAAAGCGTTTGGTACAGTTGTCTTTATTGATCATTGCAATGAATACAAGAGTTGGGATGCCATGTTGTGGCTGTACAGGAGATTGGTTAGGCCACTTTTGGAATACTGCATTCAGTTCTGGTCTCCCTGCTACAGGAAAGGTATTGTTAAACTTGAAATTGTGCAGAAAAGATTTATGGAGATGTTGCCGGAGTTGGACGGTTTGAACTCTTGGGAGAGGCTGAATAGGCTGGGACTTCTTTCCCTGGAATGTCGGAGGCTGGGGTTTATAAAGTCATGAGGGGCATGAATAGGATGAATAGCCGTGGTCTTTTTCCCAGGGTAGGGGAGTCCAAAACTAGAGGGCATAGGTTTAAGGTGAGAAGGAAAGATTTAAAAGGGACCTGAGGGCAACTTTTTCACACAGAGGATGGTGGGTGTATGGAATGAGCTGTCAGAGGAGGTGATGGTACAATTACAACATTTTTAAAAAGCATCTGGATGGGTACAGGAATAGGAAGGGTTTGGAGAGAATGGGACAACAGCTGGCAAATGGGACAAAATTAATTTAGAATATCTGGTCTACATGGACAAGTTGGACCAATAGGACTCTAGTCCCAATCCTGCAGCCATATCCTGACCTTTTATAATTTTTGTTGAATTCTGTTTTTTTTTTACAGTTCTGTATTATGTTTTATATTCAGTTTTCTTCTCTGTTCTCATAATTGTATTAACATTAATCCATAATGTGTGTTACTGCTCTTCCTGTTCTTCATTTGTTCTGGCTATTGCCCATTACCTCCTAATATAGTCCGGAAATAAACTGAATTCCATCCCAGGTTTTCATTCTGCCAACCGTTTTTGTATTATATTACCACCAACAACAACTTGCATTCATATTGCACCTTTTACTAACACAGCCCGTCGTGTTTTGCAACAGCGTTATCAAACACCATTTGACACTTAGCCACGTAAGGAGTTATTAGTACAGGTGACGAAAAGCTTGGTCAAGAAAGTGGATTTAAAGAAGCACCTTTAAAGGAGGAGAAAAAAAAAGCACAGAACATCCAACAAATTCCAGAGCTTGGAACTGAAGACATGAATATCCGTTTGGGGCAAAGAAAATCAGGAATACACAAGCAGCCAGAACTGAAAGAGCACAGAAAATTTGAAGAGTTGTAGTGCTGGAAAAACATGGGAATTAATTGACAGATTTAAAAAGCAAGGGTAGGATTTTTTAAAATTGCCAGTGTTTGGAGCCATGGTCCAACAGGGAGCATTATGTGCAAACAGAACTTGGTGTGAGTTAAGGTATGCATAGCAGAGTTTCAATGATTCTGACATTTATGGATAGTTCTGGTTGTTTGTGTTGCAGCAAAGATTTTCTCTTGTCACATTCTCCCAATTGTTGCAATAACCGTGATTCTACGTTTGTATTATCTAATAGGGTTGGGTTATACTCCTAATCTTGTACTCGGCAGTTGCCCAGCGTGGATTCTGTCTATAATCTATGCCACAGTTTGTCCCACTCTCTTCCATTCAGTTGCTGTACTCTGTTCCAGATTTTCTTTCTGTCTGATTAGTTCTGATTATTTTACTGATCTGTCTAGGGATTTCTGACTGTCCCTCGACAGATCCTGATTCTATGTCCATGCACCTATCCATTTCCCCCAGTTCAACCCTTTTTAGATTTCTTTGTACCCCACTATTAGCCCCATTTCTCTCTCTGGTTCTATGTCCCTTAGGGTTTCCTTCTATCCTTCTTATTCTGTAATTAATCCTAGTCCTCATCTGTACTCTGTCCCAGGGTTTGTCTCTGCTTCTCTATTGTTTTATTATTCCTGATTTAGTTTCGCTAATGCCTGGGAGTTTTACCTGTTAGGGGTTGTATTACTCCTGATTCTTTTGTATCTATTCTGTTTCGGGGTTTCTTTATGATTCAATGTTGCATTACCTTTAGTTTTATGTTTCTTTATTCCAGAGTCATTTTGCCTGTCCTTTTTTTTGTGTGTATTAATCCAGATTCTGATCACTTGCTCTGTCCTGGATCTAGCCCAGGCCTCTTCTTCTAGTCCCACCTTCAGTTGATGTATTAATATTCTTCAATCTATACTTGCCCTGGTTTGTTTCTGATCCTGTTTTGTTGTGCTAACATTGATTCCTCTGCCTATTATTTTGTTACTCCACATTCCAGTCCCATGCTATCCCTGTGGGAGTTGTTGAGGAATACTGTCTGTCCTGATTCTGTATCTCAATTCTGTTCCAGAGTTTCACTTTGACCCTGGTAACTTGGCGTCGCTCCTGATTCCATAACTTTAGTCTACCTCACAATTTCCGTCCGACCCCCTTCTCTCCCTCCCTCTCTCTCTGTGCGTGTATATGTGTGTGGTTGCACTTGGTCCTGATGCGATCATCCGGATTCTGCCCCTGGATTTCCGTCTGCCCTGGTTTTGGGGAGCTCTAGCCCTGGCTTTCTCTCTGACCCTGTCAACTGTTCAGTGATCCCGGATGGCTTGGCTCTCCTCCGGCCGCGGTGTCTAGCTGCTTTCCCTGGCCGTGGCTCTATAAAGTGCTGATATATTCCATGTGCATAGATATATCTATCTTTTTTGACTCTTGTGGGTCCCCGGGTTTCCTGTTCCAACACCAACCACCCCGTTTCTCGATTCTTTTTTTAGAAAAAAAGAGGCAGGCAGTTGTGTCCGAGTCCTGATCCGGAGCTGAGCTGAGCTCTGTGGCGTGTGTTGGTACCTGCCTCCGGTTGTGTTCACGGCCTCTGGCTGATGTTTACTGTTTGATTGTCCCAGATCAATCGGCTGGCATGGTGGAGGTGATAGTGGTGGCTGCGGCGGCGGTAGTAGTAGCAGCAAGCAGCTGCCTCGCCGTTCCTTCCGAGTTTCGCGATCCCAGTGAAGGAGGGCTGCTCTCTCTCCTCTCCCAATGCAAAAACGCCAGCGCTTTTTGAAACATGAATGCCGCGGGACGCCAGCGAACGCAGATCCGCTTCTTCAGACACACCGGGCAAATGTAAACAGCTTTTCTTTATATATAGAGAGAGAGATATATCGATATATATACAACAAAAAACTTTTCCCCCCTCTCTCTCTCTCCAACAACAACAACAAAAAACAACAAAGAAAAACCTTTTTTTTGTCACGATTGTATGATGATTGCTAATATCCGGATCTTGATCGTGGAGTTGATGAAAAAACAGTGGAATAGTCACAAGGATAGCTTCTAATGCAGCGATGAGTGAACTCGACAAGAGACGCTGGGTTGCAATGAGTTAGTTATTCACAAGCTATTATTTTTAATTTTTTTTTTGTTTAGTTGGTTTTGTTCCTGACAGAAAAGCAGCAACAGGAGAGGAAAACAAAAAGGAACGGTGGGCTCCTGTGTATTTAGAGATTTTTGTTTTTGTTTTGTTGTGTGTGGGGACTGGTTAGATTTTATTCACTTTTTTTGATTGAAGTGGGTTTTTTTTTGGTGGGGGGAAGAAAAAGAAGAGTTGTCCCGAAATAAACTGTGGTTGTTGGGTTGACAGCTTGGCTGGGGGTGGAGGGGAAGGGAAGCTGGAGATTATGGGGGATTTTGTAGCTCCCACGGCCGCCGCGAACGACAGCGGCAGCGGGATGGGAGCGGCGGCCGGCGCCAGCGGAATTCCCAAACACAGCACGGTGGTGCAGAGGCTCCGGCAGAGGATCGAGGGCTTCAGGAGGCACCACAACAACTGCGAGGTGAGGCGCCAGCAAGCGCAGGCTCAGCAGATCGAGCTGGACCGCCAGGAGACCTTGACGCTCCACCAGCGGTGCCTGGAGCTCAAGGCGAAGAAGACGGGCAAGCAGCGGCAGGAGTCCGCTTCCCGGAGCAAGCACTGTGAGCCTGAGCCGCCTCCTCCTGCCTCAGCTCCGGAGCAGAGGAGCAACACACTGATCGCGGTAAGCACCAACTTTCACTTTTTTTTCCTCCTTTCCCCCCCCCCCCCCCCCCCCCCCCCCCGCAACCTTTAAAGGTCCACAGGGGCTGGTCATTCATTGGCCCAATGATGGGAAAAGGAGGCTGTTGTTTTGGACAGTTTGTTTTTTATTTGGGGGATGTGCTTGTTGTCAGTCTAATTCTTACCTGTAACTTTAATGATGAGAAACTTTTTTGTGTGTTTTAAAACTGTGTGGAGTTGAACAAACTGCAGCAGTTTCGGGCCAACTCCTGCACAATTTACTGCTTGGGATGTGTGTAGCCTCTGTGCTGTGACATTTGGGGAGCACTTGCACTAGTTTTGCAGTTTTCTTTTGCAAACTTGCTACACGCTTTCTTTCTTTTCCCCACTAGTAACGAAGCACGCCTTTCACTTTCTGAGCCCAATGTCTATTAATGAGTGTTGCCACCCTGGGGGGAGGTGGAGGTTATCTCTCTGGCCAGAGATCGCCATCTCTTCATCCTTCGGTCAGAGAGCTTGCAAATCCGAATGTAACTGCTTCTGATACAATAAAATGCAAAACTTCTTTCCCCCTCCCTCTCTCCCTACGGGCAGTTTTTATTTTTAGAAAAAAACAAGCAGTTGTTCCTCCGCCGCTGCAGTCGAGCCGAGCTGTTTTGATCACTTCAATCTACTCTCGTTTCCTGCCCCAGTAAAGGGGGAGTTGCTTTGACTTGTATTTAAAGAGCTGGGTGGGACTTGGCTGATGGAAGGAGGGCGAAAGGAAACAGCTGAAAGTCCCCAGCCGAAGCTGCTCAGCATAGCCGTGTTAGCTGATTCCCTGCTTAGAGATCATTGCTAATATTTGCTTATTTATTCAGCTTGGGTTAGACTGTATCAACAGCCTGTATGTGAATGTTTGTTTGATAATGTGTGTGTATATGTACACATGGTATCTTAATATATTAGGAGATGTAAAGGCAGACAGGAAGGAAAGCTTTGGAGCAATGGCCCAAAACTGCTAGATCAGTTGTTAAGTTTAAATCTGAGACAGATAATACCTTTTGCTTAACAAAATTTTAAGGGATTTTGGCCAAAGGCAGGTATAAGGAATTAGGCCACAGATCATATTGAATGGTGGAACAGGCTAAGGGGCTGAATGACCTACTCCTATGTACTTAGGTGGTCAAAGACATGGGTTCAAAGGAGAGAAGGGTGGGGGAGGGTTTAGGGGAGGGAATTTTGGAAAATGGAATCTTAGATGGGGATGCACAAGTGTTTGCAAGAAGAGGAATTTTTTTTGTGTGGGGGAGCAGTGTTGCTAGGGTGGAGGAGGTCTCACATTTTGAGAGACGTAGGCCAAAGTGGGGCTTAAATCTATGAAATGAGAACTTTTAACCTTCAGATGCTGGGCATTCCAGCTGATGTAGATCAGCAAGGACAGGGATTGAATGGTAAGTGTGATTTAATGTTGAGTAGGATATAAGCAATAGAGTTTTTGGATGCACTGAAGTTCGTGGGGAACGAGAGGCTGCCAGGGAATGTTGCAATAGTTGAAACTTTGGAAATGTCAAAACAGGAACAAATTTGATTCTGTGTAATGCCTTTTAAATCTTTCATTGTGAACCATTTTATGGCATTCTTAAAAAAAATGCTTTTTCAAATGTAGTCAGTGTTTTGTAGGCAAATGTGACAGTCAATTTACACACAGTGAGATTGTATAAACAGCAAAACGATAATTAACTAGGTAATGTGCTTTGCTGGATTGATTGAAGGCTTGCTGTTGGCCAAGCTATCAGAAGATTTCCTTTGCTCTTCATCTGATACTGATGGATTTTTAAAAACTTTTTGTTTGAACATGAAGTCAGCATCTTTAGCATCCAAGGGATGATACCTGTGGCAGTGCAGCGCTCTATCAATTACTCACTGAATTGTCACGTATATCTAGGCCCAGAAGTAAGATATGAACTCATATATCTTCTGACTCTGAAGCAGACTGATAAAGACATGAGTAAGGGGTTTGAAGAACAGATGGGCTGAGTAAGGACAAACGTGGGCAATGCTGTATATAGGTCTACATAGGCAGCCTTTGAGATGTAGGAGAGGAATTTGTAGAGAAGTCTGACAGGATGCACTGGGATAATACAACACATTCACAGATTGGAAATACTCAGGCCTCGATTTGCAGGAATTGGCTCTAGGAGCCACAGCACATTCATGGGCCATGCACAGGAAAGAAAAGTTGGAGATGGGATGGGAATCAGCGGATTCAGAACGATCTGAGGAGGGGGTGCCTATGGCAGTTTTAGGAGATGGAAGATAGGAATCCACTTATAAATCATCAAAGTAGAAACCAGGGAAAGAAGGCCAGTGGGAAGGAGTCAAGGAAATGGGAAGCAGTATGTGATGAGATTTGAGAGGCCATTCTGGTGAAACTTGGAAGAGGTGGATGTTCAGGCCAGAGTGTGGGCAGGACTATGGAGAACCTTTTTTTATGTAGTGGAGTAAATGAAGCAACAAAGGCAACTGGAAAGACAGGCTGCATGTTGGAGATAATAACAATCCATTAGTTTATAGTGTTACTCAAGGTGAGAGTCGATGGGGGTAGGAGAGAGTGGTTTAGTGAGATAGTCATTGTTGGGGAGAAAAGGAACTTGACTTTAGCCACCAGCATGACCATAGAAGCCTGTTCCCAGAGGAAAGTGAAGCATTCTGGTACTCCATGTAATCCAGTCAAAGCCAATTGTAAGGCGGGCACAATTGAATTTGTGCCCCTTGAGGGAGTAAAAATTGTGACCATACCAGGGGTTATGATTCATGTTGGAGATGAAGGTTTGCTGGGGACATTTCAGGTAGAGTTGACAGTGAGGAAGTGATGGTGTAAATTGTGGTAAATGGAGTGGGGAAGAGTCTCTAGGCATGTTGGGAAATGGTGAAATTGCAATTGACCGTGAAAGATAAATTTTTCCACAGGTGATACAGGTGCAAACGAATGTCAAACTAACCAGAGAAACCTCATAAAGAAATGCTGGCAATCTGAAATCAGAGTCGCTAACGCTCAAGTTACACAGCTGGTAAAGTAAAGGAAAGTTAATGTTTGAATGTAGGTCCTTGGTGAAGCAGGGTGTTTCGTTCCTACTTGTTTTGTCAGGGATGGGAAAGAAGAATGACTCTCTGTATTAGTCTGATAACTTGGTCCTTTTTTCGTGGGTTGGACTGAAGACAGAAATAAGTGTAAGGGAAAATTGTCAGTAAGTCAAAACAGCACTCAGAAATATTTCAATGCAAATAGGTTGAAATGGAAAGGGAATGATTTCAGTTGCTTCCTTTTATCTTCATTTAAATGGTGCTTTTTGAATGGAATAACAAATCTTAATTTTATATCATTCAAAAATCAGAACTTAAACCTATTTTAGTGCAGTTGCATGATGCTACTGTTCAAGTTGACTTTAAAAACTCTTGGCAGATTTATAGCTAATAAACTTTCACAATTTGTGTATATTGCCCTTGTAGCTCTCTCCATCCAATGTGCGGATTGATCTACTGCCCTGCTCTTTGTTCTTGCTGCTGGTCCTCTAAAACCAGGACCCTGCTCTGCACTTTCTCGTGCTTTACAATGTTAGCGGGAGATCTTCACTCAATCGACTTGCTCTGGCTTGAAGGCAGGTTGTTGTTCTGAATCTCTTCATCTAGATGGTTAGAGGTCACTACACCATGTACACCTTGGGGGTTGCCTTCTGCCTAATGTTGAATAAATTCAAATAGAGTTCAGTGCTGTTTTTGATTTGTTTACACTCGCAGTTGGGAGTTGGAGAAGACTCATTCTCTTGTCTTAAATCTGATAATCCTAACACTCTGCAGTAACTAAGTTCTTTTGGCATCTAGATCATAGTTGACTCTGGGCCTGCTTGGAGCATACCTTGGTCTCACTGAGCTAAAAATGTTGTGGAAGTGGGGGTTATGGCTGGTGAACAATCAAGATTTCCACTCAATATTCAATTTGGTAATCTGTGCTGGTGCAAGAGTGCACGAACATCAAACAATGACAAGATAGTCCAAACAGGCTGCTTTGAATCCAACTCATTTGTTTTGGAGGATGGTGGAGAAGGTATTAACTCGTGGAATCAGGTGGAGTCTTCCAATGTTAGCAGGTTAAACTAGAATAATATTGTTGAGTATACTGACATGTACTGGCAGTTCTATATATAAAATGTCTCTGCTTGTGTGAAATACTTGAGCCTATGAGCACTGGTGTGAGTTGGCACTTTTGTGAGAACACATGAGGGGGGGAAGAGGTGGGTTTTGAACAAACATTTGTGTATGTCTTTCAGTGTTTTGCCCAGCCTTGGTGAAAAGTTGCTGTTTTCAACTGCTCAAAGGAATGAATTATTATCACTGCAGTAAATTGTCCTGCTTGATTTCATTGTCTTCCATGTTTGAGATACCGAGGGAAGCCAGACAAATACAGAGTTCCACGGTTTGAATTTGTGTTCCCGTGTATTTTGTACTGGTATGGCTACCCCTCAGCTGATTCTGAAGTAGGAAGCTCAGACGCACAGTTTAATGAGCTCAGTTCCTCCACTCCGGGATGAAATACGTTAGGATGTTCACGCTAAGCCTTCTCAAACAATGTGTAACTATTGAGCTGAGATTGTTGAGTTCATTTCAGGAAAGAGAATTTTCAACCATTTATCTGTTAACATCATGTGAATAGACTGCTCCTGGCACTGTGATACTGACAGCCGAGTAATTAATTAGAACATGGTGAATTACTGAGATCACTATTACTGCATTAGTTTCTACTCTCTTTCAGTTAGGTTTGAAAAGAAAAGACTGAGAGGAAGAGCTGCTTAATAGAGTCATGACATCCAATGCAGAAAACAAAAGGCACCTCCCCAGCTCTCATGAAGCTATAACTTCATCCTTGGTTACAGTTCTGTGAGTGGCCATGAACTCTCTAATTCTTCGTCAAGTATTTCGTCTTAGTCACTGGTCTTCCTATTTTGGGTACTGATGTTTACA